GTGGAATACCTTCTGTCTTTTCAATAATTGTTATTTTATTGTTCACTCACCTTAATAGTATTTTTCTTCTTATTTTCACCTGATCTCTAACAATCGGTAGTCAATTGCGTCTTAGTGGCTTTATCGCCTTTCTTGGTGTGAAATGATTAAAAAATTAAACTCTCTTTGAAAAGTATGGTGTCATTTTAATTTTACGTCATGTCTTACTCGAAGCAGTGTTTAATGTTCTTAGTTTCTTTCCAGATTTTTTTTGGTGGTGGGGGGGGGTATGAGGAATTACTCTAAGTGGTTTTTACTGGCTTCGAGAGAATTGAATTCCCCCCCACACTGGAGAATCATGACTTGTTCAAATTAAAGGGTAACCCGAATTATATATTGGTAAAAAAAATAAATAAAATAAAATGAAATAAAGAATGTTTCTTTTTCACGAGCAAAAAAAAAGACATTGTTTTGATTAGAGAATTGGTCAAAAAAGAAAGTCCTTTTTCTTTGTTTGAGGATCAAAAGTCTCCACACACGTGCAGTAAACAGGTGGCCTCTTTTTCTGGACCGAGTTGGTATAATCAAAGCCAGCGTATACTACCCCTGAAGCCCCTACGACCGAAGTTTGTAGTTCAAGCTTGATTTGGGGTTCCGGGGCAGTGTCTTATCAACATTTAACTTGTTTGTGACAAATTAAACTAAGTACAACTGACTATTAAAGGATGAAAAATTTTCCCAGATTTTGAATTCATTCGGGGGGTCTTTTTGTTGCTGACCAAATCCGGGTTGGGTCGAGAAGTGACGCATTGATTGCTATGGCCCTTGAGGAGTAGCTGTTGAAAACTACCTTCAAAGACCTACCCTTTAGGAAAGGACTGAAAAAATACAAGATCTTTTCATCCGCGGCAAAAAAGGAAAATGTCGGAGACCGCTAATATTAGCGAACTCTAAAAAGAAACATAACAATTCAATAATAACATTTTTAAATGATTAATCCGGCGCCTATGAATATCGGCATGCGTTTTTAAAACCTACAGAATAATCTAATGATAATTATGCACCTACCCAATAGAGAACAAATAGTTAAAGGAAGAAAATATAAAATGGAAAATAATGTGATGGAATATAAGGTAAAAATAACAACAAAGACTTAAAAAGTTTAAGAAAGAAGACGGATGAAAATACAGGGTTCGATGAATGCGGTAGTAACTCCTTCCCTCAACTTGGACGAGATGTGGCACAAGGTCTTTTTTATGTGGGGATCCGAGCGCGTACGCCCGGGACAAGGACAAAAATAGTCCACAGCCCCCGAAAGCACCGAGCCATCCCTCTGGTGCAATGAGAGGGTGCGGCCTCGGGCAGCTGTTCCTCGGGGCTGTGCACCTCTCAGTATAATTTTCTCAATTGCTCCTCTGTCCTTTGACAGAGAAGCCCCTGGGTGCACTCCGCCCAAAGACAGAGACGCAACTGAGAGATGATAAGCAGATATTTACTCAAACCCCCCACGAGGTCAGGTTGTGACAAAAGATCGGTTTAATGTGGGGAGCCCGAGCGCGTACACCCGGGCAAGGAACAAAAATTCCCCGAGTTCCCGCAACCGATCCTTCTCTCTGGTGCAATGAGAAGGCGCAGCCTCGGGCATCTGTTCCCCAGGTCCGGCACCTCTAAGTATAATTTTCCATATTTGCGACTCTGCCCTTTGATGGAGTCGCCCCTGAGTGCATTCTGGCCCCAAACTGAGAAATGATAAGTAGATGTGTACCTACTCAAAAAGAGTAATTTACACAGTAAAGATATGATGAGTAAACGTGAACTTACGCTTAATGACAATATATATCCCCCTCTTCCCCCTCTTTTTTTGCTCTTCAATATCGCTTTTATTCATTTCGCTGATCCAACGATTGTCTCCTGATGAGATGTTGGCTGAAAGGGCTCTAGAGACTTTTAATATTAAAATCAATGGTTTCCTAGTTTTTAAAACTATTTATAAATTTTGTACCTCCAAACATTTATATATATATATATATATATATATATATATATATATATATATATATATATATATATATTATCTACTTCTAGGCAATATCACTCTTCATATTGAGTTTTAAAAGTTTATTTCACTTATTAAGTGTCGTTCATTGATATTGTTTTATTCGAGGATTGCTTTGATTTTTATATCCAAAATTGTTCTGTTTAGGAATATCGTCTTATATAGTACAGAAAAGTGTTTGAAATTTGCATTTTATTTGGCCTTCATCAAGTTGGCATCTATTTGTAAAACTTTCTTTAAATATAACAAGCCAATTTATGAATGAAATCTTCATTTAAAATGTTTGTTTTAAAGATTTTATGTAGTGAATCTGTTAATTTGCGCAGCGGCAGTGAGCGGGCAAAACTGCTAGTATAAAATATGGCAAAAAATATTGGAGAAGAAACAGTTGAGATAGGCAAAGGTGGATAAAATGAAAGTGAGAAAGAAATTAAGAATAAATGGATGAATATATGAATTAATGAATTAATTCAGGTGGGAATAAAGTAGACTCGGATATATTGAATAAAGAAAAGAAAAAAAAAACGGAAGTAGATTACAAAAAATTGGAAGAGGAATTAAATATAAAAATATAAGAAGCAAAGAAGGAAGATAAGAAGAAATGAATGAAAGAATAAGTGAAGGGACGAAGGAGAAAGAAATGAGTGAAAAATAAAGGAGGGATTGAAAAAAAGAAGGAATAACAAATGAATGAAAGAAGAAATGAAGGGAAAATAAATGAATGAAAATAAAGGAAGGATGGAAGGAAAGAAGGAGTAACTAATGAATGATAGAATAAATAAAAGAAGAAATGAATGAAAAATAAAAGATAGATTGAAAGGATGAAGGAATAACAAATGGAAGGAAAGAAGGAATAACGAATGAATGATAGAATAAATAAAAGAAGAAATGAATGAAAAATAAAAGAAAGATTGAAAGGATGAAGGAATAACAAATGGAAGGAAAGAAGGAATAACGAATGAATGATAGAATAAATAAAAGAAGAAATGATTGAAAAATAAAAGAAAGATTGAAAGGATGAAGGAATAACAAATAGAAGGAAAGAAGGAATAACGAATGAATGATAGAATAAATAAAAGAAGAAATGAATGAAAAATAAAAGAAGAATGGAAAGAAAGAATGAATAACAAATGAATGAAAGAATAAATGAAGGAAAAAGTAATGAATGAAAATAAAGGAAGGATGGAAGGAAAGAAAGAATAACAAATGAATGAAAGAATAAATAACAGAAGATAAATGAATGAAAAATAAAGGAAGGATAGAAAGAAAGAAGGAATAAGAAATGAATGAAAGAATAAATGAAGGAAAAAGAAATGAATGAAAAATAAAGGAAGGATCAAAGAAAGAAGGAATAACTAATGAATGAAAGAATAAATGAAGGAAAAAGAAATGAATGAAAATAAGGGAGGATGGAAGGAAAGAAGGAATAACAAATGAATGAAAGAATAAATAAAAGAAGAGAAATGAATGAAAAATAAAGGAAGGATAGAAAGAAAGAAGGAATAACTAATGAATGAAAGAATGAATGAAGGAAAAAGAAATGAATGAAAAATAAAGGAAGGATGGAAAGAAAGAAGGAATAACTAATGAATGAAAGAAGAAATGAAGGAAGAAGAAATGAATGAAAATAAGGGAGGATGGAAAGAAAGAAGGAATAACAAATGAATGAAAGAATAAATAAAAGAAGAGAAATGAATGAAAAATAAAGGAAGGATAGAAAGAAAGAAGGAATAAGAAATGAATGAAAGAATGAATGAAGGAAAAATAAACGAATGAAAAATAAAAGAAGGATGGAAAGAAAGAAGGAATAACTAATGAATGAAAGAATAAATGAAGGAAAAAGAAATGAATGAAAATAAGGGAGGATGGACGGAAAGAAGGAATAACAAATGAATGAAAGAATAAATAAAAGAAGAGAAATGAATGAAAAATAAAGGAAGGATAGAAAGAAAGAATGAATAACTAATGAATGAAAGAAGAAATGAAGGAAGAAGAAATGAATGAAAAAATAAAGAAAGAAACGAAATAGACAAATATGAAAGAATGCATGATTGAAAGAAGGAAAGTAAGAATGAATATATTATAAAAAAGAAAAAATGCAATTAGAAAAAGAAACATAGAAAGATACATAATAAAAATAACAAAGGAAAAATGAGGAAAGAATGGAGAAAGGACATTTTGAAAATATAAAACTAAAGAAATTCGATAAAAAGGAAGAAAGAAAAGAAATACGGAAAAGAAGGAAGGGAGAAAAACAAAATAAAAAATAAAAGGAAAACTAAAAAAATCAGAAATTGACCATCGAATGCCTTAAGCAAATCCGAACTAAATTAGCGATCGTAATTACACGAGCGTAGAACAACCTATCACACATTTTCACATCCGCACATATCCACAAACACCCGACTGTGCATGTAACTGTCCACTTCGTTAGAAATTCAGGTTCGAATTAGATAAAGCCTACATTCCGATGGCCGTAGTTAATGAAAATGTACAACACGTCGCCTCTTTTATTGACGTATTTCATTACTGGGAAAGGAAAAGGCTTCGAGAAATTATCGAACAGGAAGCAGGCTGATGTCGGCCATATTACAATAACCAATACAGCAGATTTCAGCAATGTTTTTTTTTTTTTGGCTTTTTTTTTCTCCTTTGGTCCGAAGCCCTGGACAAAAGGGGACCTTATGGGAAAAGATGAAAATAAGAAAAATAAATAATAATAAAGAATAGAATCCCTACCTGAATTTCTGGAACGAGAAGTTACTCGTCTTTGTTATCGTAATTTTTTGACAGTCTGGTTTTCTTCAGGTGATTGTCGATAAAGTTAACCAAAAGGATATTTTAAAATGAACCCTTTATTTAATCTGAGGACGTAAATTGTTCTCGATTTGCTGACTGTGTTTATGTATATCACGTTTTGTTCTTATCTAGTATTGTTCAGTTTTTGTTCGTCTTTTTCCACTGAATCTAAATGAATACCACACGACTCAGTGACTGAATTCTCTATTAGTATGTCATCAAATGAACGAACAGATGCTTTAAATCGACAGTGAACAACACCAATAACGAAAAACTTCTCATACCAGGAAGAAAAAGGAATAAAGAAGGCAGCAAAAAACAATGGAATAGGAAAGAAAGCAACAAAGAAGGAAAGAAAGAATGAAAGAGAAAAAGAATCAAACAAATATGCAGCTACACAGCCGACTAGGAAAAAGAAAGAAGGAATGAAAGGAAAGAAAGGAAAAAAATGCCAGAAAGAAAATGAAAAAAAAAATTAAACTGAGAAAGAAAGCAAAAAAAAAGGAAAGAAAAGAAAAAGAATGAAAGAAAAAGAATCAAACAAAACAAATAGGAAAAGAAAAGAAGGAACAAAGCAAAGAAAAGGCAACAAAAAAAAGAAAGAATGAAAGAAATGAAAGGAATAGGAAAAAGAAAGAAGGAAAAAAAGAGGCCAGCAAAGAAATGAATTAAACTGAGAAAGAAAGTAACAAAAAAGGAAAGAAAGAATGAAAGAGAAAAGAATCAAACAAATATGCAGCTACACAGCTGACTAGGAAAAGAAAGAAGGAAATGAAAGGAATGAAGGAAAAAGAGGCCAGCAAAGAAATGAATTAAACTGAGAAAGAAAGAAACAAAAAAAGGAAAAAAGAATGAAAGAGAAAAAGAATCAAACAAATATGCAGCTACACAGCCGACTAGGAAAAGAAAGAAGGAATGAAAGGAATGAAGGAAAAAAAAAAGAGGCAAAAAAGAAATGAATTAAACTGAGAAAGAAAGCAAAAAAAAAAGGAAAAAAAGAATGAAAGAGAAAAGAATCAAACAAATATGCAGCTACACAGCCGACTAGGAAAAAAGATGCCAGCAAAAAAAAAGAAAGAAAGAAAGCAACAAAAATGAAAGGAATGAAGAATCAAACAAAAAAAAGAGGCCAGCAAAGAAATGACAGCAAAGAAATGAATTAAACTGAGAAAGAAAGCAAAGAAAGGAAAAAAAAAACAGAGAAAAAAAGAATGAATGAAAGAGAAAAAGAATCAAACAAATATGCAGCTACACAGCCGACTAGGAAAAAGAAAGAAGGAATGAAAGGAATGAGGAAAAAAGATGCCAGCAAAAGAAATGAATTAAACTGAGAAAGAAAGCAACAAAAAAAAGGAAAGAAAGAATGAAAGAGAAAAGAATCAAAACAAATATGCAGCTACACAGCCGACTAGGAAAAGAAAGAAGGAATGAAAGGAAATGAAGGAAAAAAAGCCAGCAAAAGAAATGAATTAAACTGAGAAAGAAAGCAAACAAAAAAGGAAAGAAAGAATGAAAAGAGAAAAGAATCAAACAAATATGCAGCTACACAGCCGACTAGGAAAAGAAAGAAGGAATGAAAGGAATGAAGGAAAAAAAGAGGCCAGCAAAGAAATGAATTAAACTGAGAAAGAAAGCAAAAAAAAGGAAAAGAAAGAATGAAAGAGAAAAGAATCAAACAAATATGCAGCTACACAGCTGACTAGGAAAAGAAAGAAGGAAAAAATGAAAGGAATGAAGGAAAAAAGATGCCAGCAAAGAAATGAATTGCAGCTACAAACTGAGAAAGAAAGCAAAAAAAAAGGAAAGAAAGAATGAAAGAGAAAAAGAATCAAAAACAAATATGCAGCTACACAGCCGACTAGGAAAAGAAAGAAGGAAATGAAAGGAATGAAGGAAAAAAAGAGGCCAGCAAAGAAATGAATTAAACTGAGAAAAAGAAAGCAACAAAAAGAAAAAAGAAAGAATGAAAGCAACAAAAAGAAAAAAAGAATCAAACAAATATGCAGCTACACAGCCGACTAGGAAAAGAAAGAAGGAATGAAAGGAATGAAGGAAAAAAAGAGGCCAGCAAAGAAATGAATTAAACTGAGAAAGAAAGCAACAAAGAAAAAAAAGGAAAGAAAGAATGAAAGAAAAAGAATCAAATAAATATGCAGCTACACAGCCGACTAGAAAAAAGAAAGAAGGAATGAAAGAACAAATGAAGGAAAAAGAGGCCAAGCAAAGAAATGAATTAAACTGAGAAAGAAAGCAGGAATGAAAGGAAAAAAGGAAAGAAAGAATGAAAGAGAAAAAGAAGGAAAAAAGGAAAAATATGCAGCTACACAGCCGACTAGAAAAGAAAGAAGGAATGAAAGGAAAAGAAAAAATGAAGGAAAAAGATGCCAGCAAAGAAATGAATTAAAACTGAGAAAAGAAAGCAACAAAAGCTGAAAAAAAGAAAGAAGAAGAAAGGAAAGAAGGAAAAAAAATGCAGCAAAGAAATGAATTGACTAGAAAAAAAGAAAGAAGGAAATGAAAGGGGAATGAAGGAAAAAAGAATACAAAAGAAAGGAAAATTAAACTGAGAAAGAAATGAATTAAAACAACAGAAAAAAAGGAAAGAAAGAATGAAAGAGAAAAGAATCAAACAAATATGCAGCTACACAGCCGACTAGGAAAAGAAAGAAGGAATGAAAGGAATGAAGGAAAAAGATGCCAGCAAAGAAATGAATTAAACTGAGAAAGAAAGCAACAAAAAAGGAAAGAAAGAATGAAAGAGAAAAGAATCAAACAAATATGCAGCTACACAGCCGACTAGGAAAAAAAGAAGGAATGAAAGGAATGAAGGAAAAAAGAGGCCAAAGCAAAAGAAATGAATTAAAAACTGAGAAGAAAGCAACAAAAAAGGAAAGAAAGAATGAAAGAGAAAAAGAATCAAACAAATATGCAGCCGACAGCTGACTGAAGGAAAAAGAAAGAAGGAATGAAAGGAAAGAAAGGAAAAAAGAGAAAGAGAAAAGAAATGAATTAAACTGAAAAGAAAGAAAGAAAAACAAAAAAGGAAAGAAAGAAAAACTGAAAGAGCAAAAAAGAATCAAACAAATATGCAGCTACACAGCCGACTAGGAAAAGAAAGAAGGAATGAAAGGAATGAAGGAAAAAGATGCCAGCAAAGAAATGAATTAAACTGAGAAAGAAAAGCAACAAAAAAAGGAAAGAAAGAATGAAAGAGAAAAAGAATCAAAACAAATATGCAGCTACACAGCCGACTAGAAAAGAAAGAAGGAATGAAAGGAATGAAGGAAAAAAGAGGCCAGCAAAGAAAATGAATTAAACTGAGAAAGAAAGCAACAAAAAAGGAAAAGAAAGAATGAAAGAGAAAAGAATCAAAAAAATATGCAGCTACACAGCCGACTAGGAAAAGAAAGAAGGAATGAAAGGAATGAAGGAAAAAAGATGCCAGCAAAGAAATGAATTAAAACTGAGAAAGAAAGCAACTGAGAAAAAAGGAAAAAGAAAGAATGAAAAAGAAAAAGAATCAAAGACTAGGAAAAAAAGAAAATGAAGAAGAAAAAAGATGCCAGCAAAGAAATGAATTAAGTGACTAGAAAGAAAGAAGGAATGAAAGGAAATGAAGGAAAAAAGATGCCAGCAAAGAAATGAATTAAACTGAGAAATTAAAAAGCAACAAAAAAGGAAAGAAAGAATGAAAGAGAAAAAGAATCAAACAAATATGCAGCTACACAGACTAGGAAAAAGAAAGAAGGAAATGAAAGGAATGAAGGAAAAAAATGCCCAAAGAAATGAATTAAACTGAAAAGAAAGAACAAAATGAAAGAAAGAATGAAGAGAAAAGAAAAAAGAAAGAAAGAAAGAAAAAGAAAAGAATTGAAAACTGAAAAAAAGAAAGAAAATGAAAAAGGAAAGAAAGAAGGAAAGAAAGAATGAAAGAGAAAAAGAAAAACAAATAAACAGAAAGCCAGGAAGGAAAAAGAAATGAAAGAAAAAACTGAGAAAAAAAAGCAAGAAAAAGAAGGAAAAAAAGAAACGAAATGAAAGAGAAAAGGAAGTCGACTAGGAAAAGAAAAGAAAGAAAATGAAATGAATGAAAAAAAAAGATGCCAGCAAAGAAATGAATTAAACTGAAAGAAAGCAAAAAAAAGGAAAGAAAGAATGAAAGAGAAAAGAATCAAACAAATATGCAGCTACACAGCCGACTAGGAAAAAGAAAGAAGGAATGAAAGGAATGAAGGAAAAAAAGAAAAGCAAAGAAATGAATTAAACTGAGAAAAGAAAGCAACAAAAAAGGAAAAGAAATGAAAGAGAAAAGAAGGAAAAACAAATATGCAGCTACACAGCCGACTAGGAAATTGTGCAAAAGAAAAATTAAAAGGAAAGAAAGGAAATGAAGGAAAAAAAAAGAGAAAAGAAAAAAAAAAAAGCAAAGAAATGAATTAAACTGAGAAAGAAAAAAAGCAAAAAAAAAAGGAAAAAGAAAGAACAAAAAAGAGAAAAAGAATCAAACAAATATGCAGCTACACAGCCGACTAGGAAAAGAAAGAAGGAAATGAAAGGAATGAAGAAAAAAAGATGCAGTAAAAGAAATGAATTAAACTGAGAAAGAAAGCAACAAAAAAGGAAAGAAAGAATGAAAGAGAAAAGAATCAAACAAATATGCAGCTACACAGCCGACTAGAAAAGAAAGAAGGAAATGAAAGGAATGAAGGAAAAAAGATGCCAGCAAAGAAATGAATTAAACTGAGAAAGAAAGCAACAAAAAGGAAAGAAAGAATGAAAAAGAAAAGAATCAAACAAATATGCAGCTACACAGAAATGAAAGAAAAGAAAGAAGGAATGAAAGGAATGAAGAAAAAAAAGATGCCAGCAAAGAAATGAAGAAAAACTGAGAAAGAAAGCAACAAAAGGAAAGAAAGAAAAATGAAAGAAAAAAAAGAATCAAACAAATATGAAAAATACACAGCGACTAGGAAAAAAAGAAAGAAGAAAAAAGAAGCAAAGGAATTAAAATTGAGAAAGAAAGAAAAATGAAAAAAGGAAAAAAGAAATGAAAGAGAAAAGAAAAGAAATATGCAAAAGCCTGACTAGAAAAGAAAGAAAGGAATGAAAAAAAGATGCCAGAAAGAAAGAATGAGAAAAAGAGAAAAGAAAGAAACAAATAGAAAAAGCAAAACACAGCTACACAGCCGACTAGGAAAAGAAAGAAGGAATGAAAGGGAATGAAGGAAAAAAAAGATGCCAGCAAAGAAATGAATTAAACTGAGAAAGAAAGCAACAAAAAAGGAAAGAAAGAATGAAAGAGAAAAAGAATCAAACAAATATGCAGCTACACAGCCGACTAGGAAAAGAAAGAAGGAAGGAAAGGAATGAAGGAAAAAAAGATGCCAGCAAAGAAATGAATTAAACTGAGAAAGAAAGCAACAAAAAGGAAAGAAAGAATGAAAGAGAAAAAGAATCAAACAAATATGCAGCTACACAGCCGACTAGGAAAAGAAAGAAGGAATGAAAGGAATGAAGGAAAAAAAAGCAAAGAAATGAATTAAACTGAGAAAGAAAGCAACAAAGAAAAAAAAAAAAAAAGAAGGAAAAAGAGAAAAGAATCAAACAAATATGCAGAAAGAAAGGAAAAGAAAAAAGGAAAGAAAGAATGAAAAAGGAAAAAAAGAAACAAAGAAATGAATTAAACTGAGAAAGAAAGCAACAAAGAAGGAAAGAAAGAATGAAAGAGAAAAAGAATCAAAAGGAAATATGCAGCTACAAATGAAGGAAAAAAAGAAGGAATGAAAGAAATGAGAAAAAAAGAGGAAGCAAAGAAATGAATTGCCAAAAAATGAAGAAAAAAGCAACAAAAGAAAAAGAAAGAATGAAAGAGAAAAAAGAATCAAACAAATATGCAGCTACACAGCCGACTAGGAAAAGAAAGAAGGAATGAAAGGAATGAAGGAAAAAAAGATGAAAAGCAAAGAAATGAATTAAAACTGAGAAAGAAAGCAACAAAAAAGGAAAGAAAGAATGAAAGAGAAAAAAGAATCAAACAAATATGCAGCTACACAGCCGACTAGAAAAAGAAAGAAGGAATGAAAGGGAATGAAGGAAAAAAGATGCCAGCAAAGAAATGAATTAAACTGAGAAAGAAAGCAAAAAAAAAGGAAAGAAAGAATGAAAGAGAAAAAGAATCAAACAAATATGCACACAGCCGAAAAGAAAAAGGAAAAGAAAGAAGGAAATGAAAGGAATGAAGGAAAAAAGATGCCAGCAAAGAAAATGAATTAAACTGAGAAAGAAAGCAAGAAAAAAAGGAAAGAAGAAAGAATGAAAGAGAAAAAGAAGAAAAAACAAATATGCACAAAGACAGTCGACTAGGAAAAGAAAGAAAGGAAGGAAAGGAATGAAGGAAAAAAGATGCCAGCAAAGAAATGAATTAAAACTGAGAAAGAAAGCAACAAAAAGGAAAGAAAGAATGAAAGAGAAAAGAATCAAACAAATATGCAGCTACACAGCCGACTAGAAAAGAAAGAAAATGAAAGGAATGAAGGAAAAATGCCAGCAAAGAAATGAATTAAACTGAGAAAAAACAAAAAAGGAAAGAAAGAATGAAAGAGAAAAGAATCAAAAACAAATATGCAAACAGCCGACTAGGAAAAGAAAGAAGGAAGGAAAGGAACAAAAAAAAGATGCCAGCAAAGAAATGAAATTAAACTGAGAAGAAAGAAAGCAACAAAAAAAAGGAAAGAAAGAATGAAAGAGAAAAAGAATCAAACAAATATGCAGCTACACAGCCGACTAGGAAAAGAAAAGAAGGAAAGGAAAGGAATGAAAAAAAAGAGGCCAGCAAAGAAATGAATTAAACTGAGAAAGAAAGCAACAAAAAGGAAAGAAAGAATGAAAGAGAAAAGAATCAAACAAATATGCAGCTACACAGCGACTAGGAAAAAGAAATGAAGGAAGGAAGAAAATGAATTAAAAGGAATGCAACAAAAAAGGAAAGAAAAAGAGAAAAAAAAAAGCCAGCAAAGAAATGAAAGAAAATGAGAAAGGAAAAAAAGCAAAGAAATGAATTAAAACTGAGAAAGAAAGAAAAAGAATGAAAGAATGAAAGAGAAAAAAGAAAACAAATATGCAGCTACACAGCCGACTAGGAAAAGAAAGAAGGAATGAAAGGAATGAAGAAAAAAAAGATGCAGCAAAAAGAAATGAATTAAACTGAGAAAGAAAGCAACAAAAAAAGGAAAGAAAGAATGAAAGAGAAAAGAATCAAACAAATATGCAGCTACACAGCCGACTAGGAAAAGAAAGAAGGAATGAAAGGAATGAAGGAAAAAGATGCCAGCAAAGAAAATGAATTAAACTGGAAAGAAAGCAACAAAACAAAAAAAGGAAAGAAAGAAATGAAAGAGAAAAAAGAATCAAACAAATATGCAGCTACACAGAATTCGACTAGGAAAAGAAAGAAGGAAGGAAAGGAATGAAGGAAAAAAGAGGCCAGCAAAAGAAATGAATTAAACTGAGAAAGAAAGCAACAAAAAGCAAATAAAAAAAGGAAAAAGAATGAAAGAGAAAAAGAATCAAACAAATATGCAGCTACACAGCCGACTAGGAAAAGAAAGAAGGAATGAAAGGAATGAAGGAAAAAAAGATGCCAGCAAAGAAATGAATTAAACTGAGAAAGAAAGCAACAAAAAAGGAAAGAAAGAATGAAAGAGAAAAAGAATCAAACAAATATGCAGCTACACAGCCGACTAGGAAAAGAAAGAAGGAATGAAAGGAATGAAGGAAAAAAAGAGGCCAGCAAAGAAATGAATTAAACTGAGAAAGAAAGCAACAAAAAAGGAAAGAAAGAATGAAAGAGAAAAAGAATCAAACAAATATGCAGCTACACAGCCGACTAGGAAAAGAAAGAAGGAATGAAAGGAATGAAGGAAAAAAAGAGGCCAGCAAAGAAATGAATTAAACTGAGAGAGAAAGTAAACAAAAAAAAAGGAAAGAAAAGAATGAAAGAGAAAAAGAATCAAACAAATATGCAGCTAGAAAGAAACACAGGAAAAGAAACTAGGAAAAGAAAAAGAAGGAAATGAAAGGAAAAAAAGGCAAAAAAAGATGCCAGCAAAGAAATGAATTAAAAGAAAAGATCAAAAGAAAGCAACAAAAAGGAAAGAAAGGGAATGAAAAAAAGAAAAAGAATCAAAACAAATATGCAGCCAAAAAACAGTCGACTAGGAAAGAAAGAAGGAAGGAAAGGAATGAAGGAAAAAAGAGGCCAGCAAAGAAATGAATTAAACTGAGAAAGAAAAAAAACTGAAAAAAAAAAAGAAAGAATGAAAGAGAAAAGAATCAAACAAATATGCAGCTACACAGCCGACTAGGAAAAGAAAGAAGGAAGGAAAGGAATGAAGGAAAAAAAAAAGCCAGCAAAGAAATGAATTAAACTGAGAAAAGAAAAAAAGGAACAAAAAAAAAGGAAAGAATCAAAAAAAATGAAAGAGAAAAAAAAGAAATCAAACAAATGATGCAAAAAGATGCCAGCAAAGAAATGAATTAAAACTAGGAAAAGAAAGAAGGAAAAGAGAAAATGAAAGGAAATGAAAAGAAAAAAGAGGCCAGCAAAGAAATGAATTAAACTGAGAAAGAAAGCAACAAAGAAGGAAAAAGAATCAAACAAAAGAATGAAAGGAAAAGAAAAAAAAAGAATCAAACAAATATGCAAACAAATATGCAGCTACACAGCCGACTAGGAAAAAGAAAGAAGGAATGAAAGGAATGAAGGAAAAAAGATGCCAGCAAAAAGAAATGAATTAAAAAGAAAAGAAAGAATTAAAACTAGAGAAAAAAAGTAACAAAAAAGAAAGAATGAAAGAAAAGAATCAAACAAATATGCAGCTACACAGCCGACTAAAAGGAAAAAGAAAAGGCAAAAAAAATGAAAAAAAAATGAATTAAACTGAGAAAGGCAAAAAAAAAAAAGGCCAGAAAAGAATCAAACAAATATGACATTAGGAAAAGAAACTGAAAGGAATGAAGGAAAAAGACAGCAAAAAATGAATTAAAAGAAAAACAAAAAAGGAAAGAAAGAAAAAAAGAAAGAAAACAAATATGCAGGAAAACAGCCGACTAGGAAAAGAAAAAGAAATGAATTAAAAGGAATGAAGGAAAAAAAGAGGCCAGCAAAGAAATGAATTAAACTGAGAAAGAAAGCAACAAATGAAGGAAAGAAAGAAAATGAAAGAGAAAAGAATCAAACAAATATGCAGCTACACAGCCGACTAGGAAAAGAAAGAAGGAAATGAAAGGAAGAAGAAAAAGAGGCCAGCAAAGAAAAAATGAATTAAACTGAGAAAAAAAGAAAGAAAGAAGAAAGAAAAAGAATCAAATAAATATGCAGCTACACAGCCGACTAGGAAAAGAAAGAAGGAATGAAAGGAATGAAGGAAAAAAGATGCCAGCAAAGAAATGAATTAAACTGAGAAAGAAAGCAACAAAAAAGGAAAGAAAGAATGAAAGAGAAAAAGAATCAAACAAATATGCAGCTACACAGTCGACTAGGAAAAGAAAGAAGGAATGAAAGGAATGAAGGAAAAAAAGATGCCAGCAAAGAAATGAATTAAACTGAGAAAGAAAGCAACAAAAAAGGAAAGAAAGAATGAAAGAGAAAAAGAATCAAACAAATATGCAGCTACACAGCCGACTAGGAAAGAAAGAAGGAATGAAAGGAATGAAGGTAACAAAAAAAAAAAGATGCCAGCAGAGAAATGAATTAAACTGAGAAAGAAAGCAACAAAAAAGGAAAGAAAGAATGAAAGAGAAAAAGAATCAAACAAATATGCAGCTACACAGCCGACTAGGAAAAGAAAGAAGGAATGAAAGGAATGAAGGAAAAAAAGATGCCAGCAAAGAAATGAATTAAACTGAGAAAGAAAGCAACAAAAAAGGAAAGAAAGAATGAAAGAGAAAAAGAATCAAACAAATATGCAGCTACACAGTCGACTAGGAAAAGAAAGAAGGAAGGAAAGGAATGAAGGAAAAAAAGATGCCAGCAAAGAAATGAATTAAACTGAGAAAGAAAGCAACAAAAAAGGAAAGAAAAGAATGAAAAGAAAAAAGAATCAAACAAATATGCAGCTACACAGTCGACTAGGAAAAGAAAGAAGGAAGGAAAGGAATGAAGGAAAAAAAGATGCCAGCAAAGAAATGAATTAAACTGAGAAAGAAAGTAACAAAAAAGGAAAGAAAGAATGAAAGAGAAAAAGAATCAAACAAATATGCAGCTACACAGTCGACTAGGAAAAGAAAGAAGGAAGGAAAGGAATGAAGGAAAAAAAGATGCCAGCAAAGAAATGAATTAAACTGAGAAAGAAAGCAACAAAAAAGGAAAGAAAGAATGAAAGAGAAAAAGAATCAAACAAATATGCAGCTACACAGCCGACTAGGAAAAGAAAGAAGGAATGAAAGGAATGAAGGAAAAAAAGATGCCAGCAAAGAAATGAATTAAACTGAGAAAGAAAGCAACAAAAAAGGAAAGAAAGAATGAAAGAGAAAAAGAATCAAACAAATATGCAGCTACACAGTCGACTAGGAAAAGAAAGAAGGAAGGAAAGGAATGAAGGAAAAAAAGATGCCAGCAAAGAAATGAATTAAACTGAGAAAGAAAGTACAAAAAAAGGAAAAGAAAGAATGAAAGAGAAAAGAATCAAACAAATATGCAGCTACACAGTCGACTAGGAAAAGAAAGAAGGAAGGAAAGGAATGAAGGAAAAAAAGAGGCCATCGACTGAGAAAGGAAAAAATGAAAAGAAAAAGCAAAAAATGAAGGAAAAACTAGGAAAAGAAAGCAAAGGAAATGAATGAAGGAAAAAAAAAAACTGAGAAAGAAAGAATTAAAACTGAGAAAGAAAAAAAAGGAAAGAAAGAATGAAAGAGAAAAGAATCAAACAAATATGCAGCTACACAGTCGACTAGGAAAAAGAAAGAAGGAAGGAAAGGAATGAAGGAAAAAAAAGATGCCAGCAAAGAAATGAATTAAACTGAGAAAGAAAGCAACAAAAAAAGGAAAAGAAAGAATGAAAGAGAAAAAGAATCAAACAAATATGCAGCTACACAGTCGACTAGGAAAAGAAAAAGAAGGAAGGAAAGGAATGAAGGAAAAAAAAGATGCCAGCAAAGAAATGAATTAAACTGAGAAAGAAAGCAAAAAAAGGAAAGAAAAAGAATGAAAGAGAAAAAGAATCAAACAAATATGCAGCTACACAGTCGACTAGGAAAAGAAAGAAGGAAGGAAAGAAATGAAGGAAAAAAGATGCCAGCAAAAAGAAATGAATTAAACTGGAGAAAGAAAAAAAAAAACAAAAAAGGAAAGAAAGAATGAAAGAAAAAGAATCAAACAAATATGCAGCTACACAGTCGACTAGGAAAAAACAAAAGAAGGAATGATGAAAAAAAAGCAAAGAAGGAACTGAGAAAAGAAAGCAACAAAAGGAAAACAGAGAAAGAAAAGAATCAAAAAAGGAAAAAAAGAAGGAAAAGAATGAAAAAAAAAAAAGGAAAAGCCAAATGAAAAAAAAAAGAAAAATAAAGGAATGAAGGAAATAAGAAAAGAATGAAGCAAGCAAAGTAAACAATGAAATAGTGAAAGATAGCAAGAAAGAAAGAAAGATAGAAATAGAATGAAAAGAAAAAAAAACAAAATGCAAACACTAGGAAAAAGAAATATCCAACTAAACAAACTGAATATTAAAAAAGAAAGAAAAAACAAAAAAGGAAAAAAAAGAAAAAGGAAGTAGACAACAAAATATACAAGGAAAGAAAAGAAAGAAAGAAAGAAAGGAAAGAAGGAAAAAGAAAAGAATGAAGCAAGTAAATATACAAGGAAAGTGAAGTCGCAAAAAGAAAAAAGAAAGAAAAAAGAAATGAAAAAACATATAAAAAAAGGCAAAGAAAGAAAAAAAAAAATGAAAAAGAAGAAAGAAAGAAAGAAAGAAAAGAAATAAAGAAGGAAAGAAAGTCGAAAAGAATGAAAGAAGAAAATGAAAAAAAAACAAAAAAATAATACAAGAAAGAAAGCACAAAGAAAAAGCCGGAATGAAGGAGAAAAAAAGAAAATTCAAATCAGAAAAAAAAGAAAAGAAAAGAAAAAGAAAGAAAGAAAGAAAAAAGAAAGAAAGAAATTGAAAAAATAATAGAAAAAAAACGAAAAAAACAAAAAAACAAAGAAACAAAGAAAGAAACAGACACATAAACAAAGAGGCAGAAGGAGATAAAAAAACAAATGCAACTTTAAAATGAAAGAAAAATTCATCCGAAAGAAAGAAAGAAAGAAAGAAAGAAAACGAAGGAATTGAAAGAAAAATAAGAAAATTCAACTTTGGAATGATCGAAAAATTAATAGAAAAAAAAACAAAAAAAAACAAAAAAAACCCAAAGAAACAAAGAAAAAAACAGACACGTAAACAAAGAGCCAGAAGGAGATAAAAAACAAATGCAACTTTAAAATGAAAGAAAAATTCACCCGAAAGAAAGAAAGAAAGAAAGAAAGAAAAGAAACAAAGTAACAAATGAAGAAAAAATATCATAAAGAGATGCCCTCTCTCTGAAATAGTGAAAGATGCCTTCCAAATGCTGTACAAAGAAACAGAGGAAAATTCGTTATCATCAAAGAATACTTAATCGTAACCTTTAGCCTCGCCGACACGGGTAGTTTAAAATGTGCTTAGCCTAACCAGAGAGAAGAACCAACTGAATATATTTATGACAGGCAATATCACGTCTTCTAAAACGAGAAAAACTAATTCTGATTCCTGTCTTAAATTCTGTGAAGCTAAGTCCCATACAAAGTTGAAAGGTGTGCGACAAATCTTAAATCTAGACAAAGACCAGATGAGTCATAATGTATCTTCAAAGAGAGGATTTAACACTTAAGAACACGTTACAGACACTTACTGAGGATTTACTTTCCTATGCAACTATGAAGAAGTGGGCTACTGAATTCAAGCGGGACAGAAACAGTACAGAAGATGATTCTCGGTCATGTCGTCCAAAAACCTCACCCACAGATGAACAAGATGACGTCATTGACCGTATGGTTGTTTATGACAAACGTCTTACTGTCTAGTAGACAGCTCAGTCCACAGGCATTGGTTCGAGTTCGCTCTTTACTATTTTAACTGAGATCTTGGCGATGAGCAAGCTGTCTGTAAGATGGGTCTCAAGAATGCTGGCATTAGAGTAGAATCTGAAAAGGGTTAACATTTCCAGGAGACTTCCAGGCTGATCCTGATAATTTCCACCGCAGATTAGTAAAGTAAGATGAAAATTATGACAACTTCGGACCTGAATCAAAGATTCAAAGAAAATACTGGAAACACTTTAGTTCTCCCGGTGACACGAATAGGTTCAAGCAGCAGCGTCTGTTGGCATGGTGATGGTTTCTCTTTTTTGGAGATTCTGATGGCATAATCATGATAGACTAGATGGAAAAGGGGAAAACTATTAACAGACAGAACTAGGCATTAGAATTAAAACAACTGAAGGAAGCAATCAAGTCAAAACGTAGAGAGAAGCTGATGTTCGGGGTGCTCTTGCGCCAGGTTAATATGTCCGTTTTGCTCGGTTTGCAGTGGCTGAAGAAGCCAACTGTGTTGTTAAATTGTTACGCCATCCCCCTAACTCACCAGACTTTGCTCCATCTGATTTCTTCCCGTGGTCGCCATTTTGCAAACAATGATAAGATCATATGTTCTGTGGAGGGATTTTTAGAGGACCAGGATGCCACCTTCTTCAGTAATAGGATTGCAATGCATCGTTTGATGTCTAGTAGGGTGAGGCTATATTTGAAAAAAATGTCTTGTTTCTCCATATTCCCCTGGGTATGACTTTTCAACGACTCTCATACATGATGATGATAATGATGATGATGATGATCGCTTTTATTTTTCCTTTTCCTTCTTTTTTTGTTTTCTACCTCAAAAAATTATTTCTTTTTTTACCCCTCCTCTTTACTTACACGCTTTTTACTCTTTCTTCATTCTTTTTGTCTTTTTATTCCAGTTTTTTTTTTATCATTTCTTTTTTTCTCTTATTTACTGTTGCCTTTTCTCTCTTCTTCCGAACGACGCTCATATGTCTGTGAAAGAAGGAGAATTACGTCACAGATGAAGCGAGGACACAACGCAACGGAAATGCTGTTCTACAGAAGGATAGTGAGAATACCACGAACAGAACAAACGAGCTATTAGGAAGTTTTACAGAAACACAAAGATATTTCTTCTTAGAATCCGAAAAATGACTGTTGATACCTTTTGAAATTTTTAGTCAGTCATGTGCCTTTCGCGAAATACGTTTGAGCGATCATGTCTTTTCGAGTGATGACTGACTGAGCAGAAGATTTCCAGCAGTAGGTTGCCGTTTCCTTCTGTGGTAGACTGGTTAAAACAAAGCCTATAGGACCAATTATGTCCTGGTATTTAACCCATAGCTAGAGGGAGTAAAGATAAAGTCAGTCACATGTCATACGTGATGCACGCTCGGACGATCATGTCTCTTTCGATTCGTGATTCGCTTCGCAGGAGATTTCCGTTTCTATCCATGGTAGACTGGTTGACAACAACGCTATAGGACCCATTCTGACCTGCTATTCAACATATACCTGGTAGAGTGGAGTAGTATTCATCCATTTCCCAAGGGTATTTGTGCGTAAATGATTGTAATGAAGTCAGACTTCTCGTCCCGTGTTGTTCTATTCTTTGCAAGCGTAATGAAGGGAAAAGAGGGAGCAGAAAATATGATACCCTCAAGAACATATTAATGGCAAGAGTGGCTGTGGGAAAAAGGAATTTTTTTAGTCAACTGGCTTCTGTAAATGAATGGAAGAAAAGTTGGGGAGGAGATGATAAAAAATCATTGCTAAGTGTTTCAAATTGGAGGAAGATGTGGAGAGCTATGATTACCACATATTGAAAGGACTCAGCACAAGAAGAAGAAGAAGAAGAAGAAGAAGAAGAAGAAGAAGAAGAAGAAGAAAGATTATTTGGAAGGAAAAGAAAGTGACCAAAGCAAATAAAATGAATATCTTGGATTGCAAATGAAGAATCGATGAAAAAAAATGGCGGAAGAATTGTGATTCGCGTTTAGGATATTAGATATGGGCAGAATGAAATTAAGCCCAACTATAGCCAGGGGCTCTTTCAATCTCGTTCCTGTCCATATTCAGAAAGAAAAAAAAATGCCCCCCACCAAAAACAATAAAAACAAAACAAAAAATAGCCGGACTCTTAAGTTCTAATTTTCTTTTATTGATTCCAATAAAGAGACTATAGAACATCGTCTTTCACGTCGTCATCGTCCAAATGACACCGACTTGATGCTTGTCCGGCAGCCGGAGGAACTGTTCCAGGAAACGATCACCTTCCAGCAATGGCAATATTCATTGCTTAGACCTTCCCTGCTATCCGGAACAGTTCAATAGAACTTCGATTGTCCACATACAACCAGGCACAAAATCACACACACACACATACAGTGATTTGCCGTTTCGATGTCTTCGTTAACTACATCAACCAACCGCAAATAAATGAACAAAAAAAACTGGATACGAATCGATATTGATGTGAGTGTCCGTGCGGCTATGTCGGCTGAACCTCAGCGTGAACATTTTTGCCCCTGCTAAGTAAATCAGTGTTTCGCTATCGGCTATTTTTTTATTAATATCGCTACAAATAAGGTCTCTAATGTCAGGTGGCAAAGGCAACTAATGAAACAGAAATAACCAATATTTTGGGGGTCGGAACTAAGTGTAGAAAGAAAAGTTCGTTTTTCAATTTATTGAAACTATATTTTATAAATTCGCAAGAAGTTAAATTTTATTCGTGTGTCTGCATCTTGTATCACAAGAGAGCTTGCATTGATATAATTAAATAGTCCACGTGTTGTATGGGCAGATATGGATGTCTTTTTTTCACCTCTGTGAATCGCATGAATCAAACCAGTCTGAGCTTGCTGTTGTGATCTCCTGGTCACATTGTTCGAAAACAACTGGCCCTAAACAATTATTCGAAAATAATTATTTGAAAAACATTAATTCGAATTGTAAATTGCCTCAATGATATTATATTATGAACTTATATTTTCAATAGCTTTCTTTATCGTTCGATGATCTCAGCAAAGCTCATTTATTATCTCCAAAGTGGATTTACCCTCACTCAATAACTTTTTGTTATTTTCTATTTTTCAGCAGTTCCTAGATCCTTTTCTTTGCCTATGTTTCAACATATATTTTGGACTGTCATACAGGAAGAAAATAAGTAACTACCGACACCGAGATTCGATCGTGACACTCTGGAATTATGAATATATGTTTTCCGCCAGGTGTATAAATAGCGGTGTCAGGCTAGTGACTGCGGTGATTATTGAGTGACTATTGAATGGAACTATCCAGTTGAATTAGTGTGAATTATTTGGGGTTTGATTTAGAATTTACCGGACGTTAAGCCGAGCCGCGTTAGTAACAAGATATTCACTGAAATAATTAATTATCTTTCGTTGACTTTTACTTCTTTGTTTTTGTAAACTATTTATTTGCGGGTTTTAATTACATACTGTTTTATGTTAACACTGAAGTCTTGAATTATACTTAATTATTAACGGCCACCGCACGTCACAAAACATAATTACTATGTCACCGAATATTATAAATAGCGATGTCAGGCTACTGATTGCAGTGATTATTGAGTGACTATTGAGGGGAACTATCCAGTCGAATTAGTGTGAATTATTGTGTGTCGATGATTTGGGTTTTGATTTAGGATTTACCGCGCGTTAAGCCGAGCCGCGCTACTAACAAGGTATTCATTGAAATGGTTAACTATCTTTGGTTGACTGTTACTTATTTATTCTTGTTAAGTATTTATTTGCGGTTGTAATTTAATATTGTTTTATATTAACATTGAAGTCTTGAGTTGTACATTATTATTAACGGTCACCGTGCATCAAAAAGAAAATAAATCGAAAGGACAATTATAGTAAATGATAATTATTTGAAATGCAAAATTCTCTATTGCAATAAAAACCTTAAAAGAGGAAATACACAAATGATAATTATTCGAAATACTGTTGTGGTACGATCCACCTAATTTACATAGTGGAGTACCGACCATATAAATATGGGTTGGTACCGGGAAGACGAGGGAAGGAACAAGAGATCCAATCCAGAGACTCTGCCCGACTGCGATTAAGTCAACCCATTCTACAAGGAACAGTCTTCCCAAGAATATACCAAAACTAACTGTAAATATTGTGTACCTTTCCCTTGTTTCAATACATTTTGGTTACGTACATTTTGTGTTGTATTATTATTATTCCATGCTTATCCAAGCTTCAACAAATACAAATATCGTTAATAAAACAATTAAGTAATATATTATGGACTGTCATACAGGAAGAAAATGAGTAACTACGGACACCGAGGTTCAAACGTTACACTCTGTACTAATGAATGTGTTCCACCAGGTGTATAAATAACGGTGTTAGGCTACTGACTGCAGTGATTATTGAGAGACTACTGAGTGGAACTATCCAG